GGGAAACAATTTGGGCGCCGGGGGGGGGGGGGGGGGGGGGGCGGCTGTCCACAAAAATAGTGGTTCTCGGCTCGGCTCGGTTGCCATGGGACGGCATGACCATCGATGGGACGGCTTTTCCACCGAAAGACCATTGTGGGACGGAACATTGGTAGACAGAGAGACAGCTGAAACGACAGCTGTCGTGGGACGGGTCGAGACCGTTTCGAGGTTCCTTCAAGTTCCTCGGAAGCAATTGTGCCGATAGGTCGGATATCGGCCGTCACTTGCCAGGAAAGTGGTTTCGGTTTCAGGCGGGCACACCCGAGCGAAGGAGCACATCACAACCATACGAAACACCCTGACCGAAAGATGCCTCGCACGATAGTACCAACCCCCCCCGTACGAAACAGCAGTGGCAGACGACATCCACTACCGCGCACAGCAACTCATCATCCGTCACATCAAGTGCTGCGTCGACATGAGACACTTCCCCCCGGGCACCAGAAACACACAACAACCTTACCACCCCTGCCTTCGGCAAAGCAGGAAGGAACGATCGATGGCCTCGGTCCTGTGGGAACAAACGCTCCGTCCTGTCGAGGATGGGTGCTCGATGGTCAAACAAACCCAGGCATGTTACGCCCCCCCCTGATCCCCACCTGATGTAGTCTCCTTCCATCCCGGTGGCCATTACGAGCGAATCCTTCCCGAACACCTTGCCAAGCTCCGCGGCGCCGGCCTTCGGCTGTGCCCGAACCACCAAACTCACCTGAGACAATAAGGAAACACGGACGACACGCCGTGGGGTGAAGCGATACAGCAGTAGAAGTCCGGGTTTTGGGCCGCTATTGGGCAAGGGGAAAACAACGGCCATATATAGGGCACCCGGCACTATTCAGAATGTGAGACAGCTTGAATCTTCCATCTGTGCCAAGCGACTTCACCGACCTTCACAACCTGCCTTAACTAAGCAGTCAAAAACAGGGACCTCTACTGTAGCAACAGTCGGGCCTGTACATACCATGAATAAAAACGTAAAGAAGCGTCTGTCTAGACGCAATTTGGGACACAACCAGAAAAGCGGAAACTGTCTGTTTGTTGGTACAACCTTTAAGATGAAACTGCTATCTCGCCGCTACTTGGGGCACGAGAGTTTTCAAGGCAGAGTCCGTTTCTTCACCCTGAACGCAGTTGACACGTAACGTTCGGCAGCCGACGCGGGACGTGAGAGAGGGAGTCCCCAAGAAGGCCGACGCAAAATCGCAGATGGAACATCGGAACGGGCCAACCACAACAAACTACCGCCAGCGCTATCACCCAGATCCAACCCAACTTAGAGGTAAAACATCTACTCTATACGTGAGGCGTCAAACCCACGGTGGCTACCCTCCCGAGGCGCCGTGCAGCTCCTCGAAGGACGCTGGTACACGTAATGTTTTTTAAGCGGGGACCCCCGCTCCCCCCTCCCCCATCCCACAGGCGGTCAAAACCTAACCAACAGCAGACGCCCCGATTCTCTCACCGCATCCGGCAGGTCAGTTGCAAACTGGTAGAGAGCGGGAAACGAGGTCGGCACGACGCAGGACGCGTCCGCCCACCCCAGCGTCCCGCCGCCGTGGCCGCCGTCCTCGCTGTCGGCCTCGAGAAGCAGGAAGTCTCCCTGCTTTTCCACCGCCCTCATGTGCACGCCCCTCGTGGCGGTGGCGATTTGCTGGCGTGCCGGCCGCCCAAAACGGAAACAAAGTAACAACAAACGAAAGACACTGACATGTTCAGTGCATATATAGGCCAGACCAGACTCAAGACAAGCCCAGTTACCAGCTAGATCTTGCTCACCAGTCACCGAAAATACTTCGACACACCCCTTCGATTGCGGTACACTGTATTTTCTCGAGCGGGTAGCCTGTCTTCGATTGTATCTGTAATCTTTATGTTCGAAGAACAAAGGGTTTTGGGCGACGAGGTCTCTATTATAGCGTGCTAACACTACAAACGACCAGCCTCCTCCAGAACGACTGCGGGACAACGCAGCCCCAGCAGCACAGCGATAAGGCGTTATTACGCCGGCGAAGCACAAGCTAGACGGGAAACTTGGTCGAGAGGTTGTCCTTAGCCTTAGCAAGCCCCAGCTTCTTCTTGGGCCAAGTGCACCAACACATGCTCCTTCTGAAGCGATTAGGTCGCGATATTTATCGTGTGGACTCCGCCGAAGAACCGACCGTGCCCTGCCTTCCTCCCTACAAGGTGCCGCCTCAGCCAGTGGCTTTGCCAGTGGCTCTAGCCAGTTGCTTGGTCTTATTTTCGAACTGCAAAGCTGCCTGTTACATACGCCCTTCCTGGGCTTCTTGGGCGGGGCGGTTAGGTGCCCCCAGTGTTAACCCTCACCGGCGTGCAAGCGGTGAGCGTAGAGAGCAGCAACGGCAACAAACCGCTCGTCTCATCTACTCGCCGGCCCCGCCCCTTAACACTCCAAACTCCTCCCCTTGTCTCGTTTCAAAGACGCCCATTTACTCGCCAACGTTCTCATCAACTCGCGAAGCCCGCAACGTCTGTACTTCAAACCCCTCCCCTAGGCTCAAAAGACACTCACGGCTGTGGGCCCGTTGAGTGGGGGCGTTTCGAACAGCGGGAGCTCATCGAAGTCATCCGAAATTCGCACGCCCACGGACGCCACCGACATGATGCCCCCCGCTGCTCCCGGTGCCGCCGCCGCGGGTGGTACTGCCGTGCGTGATACTTCTGCGAGCGGCAGCAGTCAACACGCAACGCACGGAAATGAGAGATTCGTCAACAGCAGGCAGCGGAGGGAGCTTCTCCATGTGAAATCAGAAAACGCTCGTCGTTTCTTCCCGCGGGAGGTGGAGAGTTTCTGCACGCCGCTGCGAGATTTTGAAGGAGAGCTGCCTGCGCATGTTGGGTGTCAGGACGAATCGTCTCGTGCCGAGTAGGTATATTGGCACCTCGCGTCCGGACCTCTTTTACTTGATTAGCTGAACAGCAATCGTAGCCAAGTACAGCAGCAACCTAGCAACGTTACTGCCGCAAGTGAAACTCCAGACACCACTGCTGCTGTACAACCACATAACACTCCGCCGCGCCTCCGATGGTCGATAACATGAAAATGGACATGACACGGAACACTATTATAATATCTCTAAAACGGCCGTTGAAGACGGAATGATGCAATGGATACCTGGACGGAACATCACGGCGGTTCTCAAAACCATGCTATTACTGTATTACCTTGTTGCACGGGGCGGCGTGCGGTAAGTTCTGCTGTTGCGTGTTCTGCTATGAAGAGAGCATGAGCAAAGTACATACTGCTGTGTGCAGCGGCATCACCACTGGCGGGGGCATCTTCCCAAATAGACAGGCCGACAGGTTATTGCGTGGCCCGTACTCACTGCCACAGCCGCCTGGCTCTGTGTGCTGTGCAAGGCTATCGGTAGGGAAGGTCACTTCACCGCAACAATTGTGGTGCAGTCCTTCCAGCACAAGTCAGGAGGCCCTGTACTGCAGTTGAACGAGTCACTGCTGTGTGATGCAATCACGGGGATGTTGGGCGACCCATCGCGTGACACAGCAGCATCACCACAACGCAAAAGATACCCAAACGCTACCTTTTCTAGGCCGAGAATTCACCTCTACACGGGGTCAGCTTTCTCCCTCCTTTCTCTCTCTGCGGGTTGGCTGCTGTCTGCAGCAGCAGGAACGGTGATGATGGGCATTGACACACCGGATGAAAACAGCCAAACGGCTGGAGAGAGCTTGAGACAACGGCAAGAAGACTCACAGCTGCAAGGGAATCTCATATTCCTCCCGGGCCACAGAACTTACCACACCTCCAGGCGTTCTCTTTCCCACTTTCGCACGTTGACTCTCCTCCAGCCGGGGCACTCTCCCTCGCCCCTTTCGGCTCCTCTATGCATGGGTATCCGGCCGTGGACAGAAGCTAGGGGGGGACTTGCGAACCGAAAAAAGAACAACGGGGACATGTTCCTGTTTGCGTGCCCCCCCCGGAATCTGGTTGGTGTTGTGGTTGCACATCGCACATCCATAGCTCCACTAGTGCTGTCTCAGCCAAAGACTTCCGCGTTGATGAGACATTTCTCATACGAAGGCCGTCCCTGTCTTCGCTGACATTTTCTCAAGCTGTTGGAGGTGCTCTCGACTCCGTGTTGAGCTCTATTTCCAGCAGTAGTCCAGATTTTCTGGGCAGTACAGAGGGGTATAGCGCCGGACGTCATTGGTAGTAGGAGGATGGATTACGGGCGGAGGGATGCAGATCGCGGCAGCCGGGGGCGCGACGGGGATAGGAGGGGTGGCCGAGAGAGAGGGTCCCGAGACGACAGCCGCGGCAGCAGCAATCGCCGAAGCACGGGAGTGCCAGCCTATGGGACGGCCTACAGCGAAGGCACATCCTCCTCCTCCTCGAGAGGAGAAGATCGTCGAGGCGGCCGTTCCCCGCGAGACAGAGACAGCAGCAGGAGGGGCGGCAGCAGAGACAGGGGCAGCAGCAGCAGCAGACGAGGGAGGGGGAGCAGAAGCAGGAGCAGAAGCAGGGACGAGAGAGGAGGACAAAGGTGATGGTGTGCTTGCGGGTGGACGCGCAACACACACGAAAAAGGGCAAAGCGATGCACTGCAACCCAAAATCCGAAAAGAAACCATGCAGCGAGGCAAGCAGCCCAGCCGGGCAGGCAGCGGCGGCGGATCTGCTGCAGTGCGTCCTTGCGGAAACGGGGCGTGGGGGGGAAGGGGAGAGAGCTCCGGTTAACGTTGGGGGTCATCTCTCCCTCTTCCTCCCCCCCCCTCCCTCTGCTGCTGCTGCTGGCTTCGCCGAGACGCAGAGACCAAGCTTTTCAACAACTAAAATCCTTTGATGACTGCTGCCGTTCCCGCACGACGCACGATCTCTTTTCGACTTCCGCCGCTGCTGTGCCGGCTCGGCGCGGGCACGTCGAAAACGATGGTCGCGTCTGCCTCAAAACCCAGATCGGACAGAGCGAGAGGTCGAGCAAGTGGTGGTGGAGGAGGAGGGGGTGGTTGGGACACTGCTGCTCGAACCGGCGACCGTGGCCCACGCACTGGTAAGACACTCTTCGATGCTAAATGTTTGCTGTAGGTATGCATGCAAGATTTGTTTGCCTACAGCAGTATTATAGTACATGTAGAGTTGATGGTGCTCTCTAAATACCTGCTGGTGGTAGCAGGGGTTTGCACCCACGCCGCTCGGACACTCGGTTACGAAGTGCCTTCGGGCGTGAAGAGTTTTTCTTGTGCCAACCGATAGTATACTGCCCGCGGGCTTGTGCGGCGTATCGCTGCCGGGACAGCCATTGCCGTGCGCATGCTGTTTATTGTATGCAACACCGAGGGCGAAAACAGCCGGCGGGGCGTCTTGGTTATTTTATCCCTCGGCCGCTTCTCGTGTCCACCAAACTTTCTCAGTCGCAGAGGTAACAGCAAGGAACACGTTTTCCACCCCGTGTCGCAAAAGATGATACCGTGCAGCGTGAAAACAAGCCCACCGCACGACCTTGTTACGTGAAACTGCTGCTGTTTTGGTGCTCGGTCGTCAAAGACGTTTGTTCTGTCAGCTCCCTCCGGATGTATTGCTTATCGATCTGCAATGAACAAAACACCGGGCCGTGCGCCAAATTTACGGCAAAACGGTGTTCTCTGCCCGCTAGCGCTCCGTTTTCGTCTGGCAACAGCCGAGGCTTGTTTGGGCCATCGTCTATGTCATGGACACTTGAAGATCGCTCGAAGCGTTCGTACGAACTCTGTTCAGTTGCCGCCTAGAATGTACTTAGCGATTTTATGTTCGCGCCACAGCGCCACGAAACGGTCAGCATGGCCGGGCGTTGCATGCTGTGGTAGGGTGTGTGCGTATGAGCCGTTGGTGCTGACCGGTGTCGTCATTGCCCGTTCGGTACGCGAATACCCTGTTGTGTACGGCGTTGTCGAGGCTCTACCTTGGGTTGTTATTCGAGGGATGTTATTCGAAGGAAGGGTGCAAGTCTGCGATCAGTTGTACACCTTGCAACATGCCGATTTATCTCAGATGTGACGGGTCCCAAGGCAAAAACCTTGGTCTGTCGTTTGGTATTTTTTTCCACGCATCATACGGTCGCCAGCAAAGAACTTGCGCGGCATTTCGTTGCTACTTGGCTGGCTGTGTATCGAACATGGGTATGTTCTTCGGGGAACAGGGGTAGTTCGAGGGAAGTGCCGGTCTGCCGGGTAGCTGCATGGATGCTTGGGTGGACTACTGCTGCGTTTGCGCTCTTCAAGCAGCTGGTGTGGAAAGACGATGGTGATTCTTTTGCATGCTTGTTGTGTTTTCCGCGGGGGTGTTTTTGTTGTAAGGGAATATAGCCGTGAGCCGTCGTGGCGTCATCAGCGCTGATTCGGGCGCCGTTCACGTTTGATGGCATTGCCAACCCGCTTTACCTGTGTGGCCGTCGAGTTCGTAGTGCCCTGTGCCTCTCTCCCGCACCCATCAGCATCTCCACCTTATACCAATCCAATCCCTACTCGCAAACATGCCGGTGGCATCAGGTTCCCGTTCCAGCGGTGACCGATACACCGCCCCAGGTGGTTCTGATCGGGGCTTCTTTGCGGAGGACGCCAGATCGGAGTTGAATCCAGCCAGTCGGAAGAGAGCAGACTGGGAATGCTCTAAGGTTTGTGGCGAACGCGTGCGGGTTGGTATCCAGCTGTAGGGCAACGAGAACAATGGTCACGTCATGAGCTCTCAAGTCTCGGTATATTGTGGCATCCGACTGTTTGGGGGAACGCTCGTGGGTTGTTGGTTGTGAGAGTTGGGACCTTGAAACAGTTCAAGTTGAAAGCGGGTATCGAGAAGAAAGGCTGGGGGGGGGGGGGGGCAGAGGGCCAAGAAATCTTCGGCGTGAACACGTCTCGATCTAAGAGTATCATCTCCCGTGCAGAATTTGCTGCTAGGTTGTAGTACGCCGCCAGTGTGACCCCTCATCTTTTTTTTTCTTTGCGTGTTGTTCCCCCCCCCTCGAAATCACGTGTGTTTCCGTCCAACACACGTGCCTCTGTGCTCCTTGCTCGTTGACTATCAGTGTTCTACCCTGAACTTCGCGCGACGAGATCGGTGCTTCGGGTGCGGCGCTGCGATGGGCAAAGGCTACCGCACCACGATACCCACTAACGTGTTGAGAGTTTCGGGCTTGCGTCGGAGTACCACCTCTGAACAGGTGCGTTTGCCGTTGGTGTGCTTGCTCGGGGACTGCTTTTGGTTGTGCTCTCCGTTTGTTGTTGTTGCTTGTATGGAAGTGTTGCTCTTGTCAAGACGTTCGCTTCTGGACATGCTGGGGTTTCCCTGGTACTGTGACATGCTGCCTGTCTGCATCCCTTTCCCCTTGCGATCTTGAAATGGCTCTTTTTCGCGGTGCGCACCCGGCTCAGTGGCACACACACAGCTAGCAAGACCATATTTTCCATGCGAGCGACACCATACACCTTTCACATTTCCTCCGTCAGTTCACCCCGTTCTACTAGCCTTACCCACCGCGCATACTCCCCCATACGCGCACCAATCTATCGACTTCAGATAGCGAGACCTTGTCCATTTCCTCCGTCGTTTCACTCCGCTCTACTAGCCGCACGCACCGCGCATACTCCCCCGATCAATCGACTTACAATAGCGAGTACATCGCCGTGCTTACTCAGGTCGTACTCGCCCTGAAGCCCTTCGCCCCTGTGAAGGACGCCCACCTCGCCGTCCACCCGACCACGAACGCCTCCCTACGGGCATGCCACGTGGAGTTCCAGTCCGTGGAGCACGCCCAGCACACGCTCGACACCGCCTCCGTCGAAGGCGACGGCGGCCTGACGATCGAAGGCGAGCCGGCCTCGTTATCCTACGCCGCCTCCGGCGCCGCCCCGGCCTCCGCGGCCGCCGCCCTTGCGGCCTTGTCAGCGGACAATGAGGAAGAGGAGGAGGAGGGGAGGATAGTCGCCCCGGTGTCGGCCTCCTCCGTCACCGCCCTCAAGGCCTTCCAGGGACGGCAGAACGCCGCGCGGCTGGCGAAGCTCGAGGGCGGCGAGGCCGCCACCGGCGGCGGCGGCGGCGGCGCTGCTGCTGCCGCCGCTAGCGGGGCAAACTCCGAAGCCGCGGCGGCGAGGGCGAGGCGGGCGCGCGTGCACACGGGCTCGGGTGCCGGGATGGGCTCCCTTGCGCTTGCGTTCGGTGGCGGTGGGCCCGGTAGCGGAGGGGTCGGCGGTGACGCCGGCGGCGGTGGCGGCAGGGGGGCGATGGCGGTAGTGACTCTGGGAGGGGCTGCCGGGAGCGAAGGAGCTTCACCGGAGGTAGATCGTCTGTGTGTTTTGCACGATGCAGAGGTAGAGATCATCTGTGGTGTCTTTTTGGTCGTGGATGTCCCGGGAGAGTGACGCGAGGGGGGGAGAGTTCTTGTTTTTTTTTGTCCTCGTAGAGTTTTGCTGTTGCTTTTACCGTGGAACGGTACCGCGTGCTTCTACCGTGGAATAGTGCCGCGTGCTTCTAATGTGGAGCAGTGCCTAGTGCACCAATCCAGCCAGGCTCGCTTCCTCGAGTCTCTGACCAGCGTAGCCGGGCTTCCTCAGTCGAAAGGAAGTGATGCAGATCGTTGCGGGGGGTAATGAACCAGGACCGAGCTTGTGTGCACCCCTTCCGTCTGACGCCACGCGGAACCCCCGTGTGTCCCATGTTTCTCGCGGGACGGATGGAGCGACCCAGGCGGTATGCGCGGCGCTGCAGAAAAAGCTTAACCCTCCGGATTGGCCACCGCCCTTCGAGGAAGCAGGAGCAGCGTACCTTTTCGACGGGCCGAGCGGGTGAGTACACTATTGACTTTTTCATGTATGCCCTCACATTGTCTCAAGGAAATTGTTGGGGGTCATGTTGCACAGATGTGACGTGCCTCATAAAAACCCCTGGTCAAAGAACGTTTTTCACTTTGCTCAACAACCAGAGCGCACCCCCCCCCCCCACCTTCCCACTCGAGATTCTCCTTTTCACCGTATTTTGCTGAGTGCCCCTTGCTCCCCTTCGCCGGCAATCCCCGCTGTCGCTGCTGCTAGTTACTTTTACGAGTCCACAACCGGCGTGTACTACGACCCGCGGAGCAAGCTCTACTGCAAGGGCATGGTCTGGTACAGCCACACCCCAGGCCAAGACCCCGCCTTCAACCCCGTCTCACAGCAGGGGGGGACAGATGCGCGAAGTTCCCTCGCCAATGGCGCCTCCGAGGGTGTGTCGGTTGGCGATGCGACAGCGGCCTCGGCGGCGGCGGCGGCGGGGGGGGGGGGCGGCACCGCTACGAACGCGGGAGCGCCGACGAAGGCCCTCGCGGGCGGCAAGCGCGTCGGCGGTGGTGGATGGAAGAAGTCGTCTTCGCGCCTCGCGTTCGGGTTCAAGGGCGCCAAGCTCGCCAAGGCGGCGGCTGGCGGCGGCGGCGTCGGGGCCAGCGGCGTCCTCGGTGGCGCTGACAGCGACAGCTCGGGAGACGATAGTGGTGGCGAGGTGGCGGCGGGGGTGGGCAGGGGGACTGTCGGCGGTGGGGTGGGGGTCGGGGGAGCCTTGGCGAAGAAGCGGCAGCTTGAGGACGTGTCCAAGTGGAACGCGAGGAAGCTGGAGGTGCGCTCGACTAAATAGGCCTGGGGGCGTGAGGATGCTTCTTTTTTTTTAGCTGCGCACGTATGTACCTCTTTCACAACGAGGGTTTCTTTTGGCACGTCATGAACTGCGCACGCAACGCAAGACCGATTTCCCAAAGGAGAATTCCGGTTGCACGTACAATATAGGAGGACCTCAAACCGTATTTTTGTTGGCCCGTGTTAGAATACCCTAAGAGGTCGGAGTGAGCAGGAGAGGGGTGCGAGTAGGAGAGCTGAACGGACGGTTTGGTTTTGGATGTGGTAGAAAAGTCGTTTTACTGGAGTGGAAAATCATCATCAGCAAGGTGCTGGTGCTGGAATTCCTTGCTGATGACGATTTTCCACTCCAGTAAAACGACTTTTCTACCACATCCATCCCAGCCGCCTCTTCAGCTCTCCTACTCGTGCACCCTCTTGCCGACTCTGTCCTCTTCCCCCAAGCCCAACACATGGAACACACGTTCCTCCTGACAACATGAAACCATCTTGCTGATAAAAAACATTGAACAAAATGTAGACACCCTGAAATTTCTTCACTGCTGTCCCTGGCCAAGGTTCTCTGTCTTCTCCCCGGGATAACACGAAGCATCCCGGCATGGGGTTGCAAACCCCGTCGAACTGCGAATACTTGGCTGTCGCCTGCGCTACGATGTGCGCGACGCTGTTGTTGTCGTGGTTGGGGCTTGGTTTGATCCCCCTTGGATCGATGGCGAGGGTTAGGTACCCGCGGTGGGGTTGGTTGTCCGCGAGCCTGGCTGCGCGGAGTTGCTCTTGAGTGGCTATTTAGTTTGAAGAATGGCGGATTCGGCAGTACTAGCAGAAGCGTTTTGAACACGTTAATGTGGGCAACCTGTTAGTGCGGTGCGCATGTTTTTTCATGTCTGCATGCTGAACGTGGCAGCCATCCAAACACTGGTGCTATGTTACCGCAAGACCACTTCCTGGCGCGGGGATTGCTCATGTGGCCAGGGACACCATCATTGCCCATCTACCAGTAGCCTTGGCGAGGATATAGGCTTTATTTTTGTAGGGGGTACGCGGTTGGGTTTAGGGTTAGGGTTAGGGTTCCGAAGCCCACCTTTCTACTTCGTGGGTTAATATTAATAGTTCAAGTATCTAGTATTAATAGTATCCTCGCGAAGATGGTCACTATCTACCCACAAGCCTGGCGGATCCCCGCCCCCCTCCCCCCCCCGAAAAGTCGGAATCGATTATGTAGCAGATTGAGCAGCGAGCACTGCACGGCGGTATTCGTTGCTTGTTCCTGTCGCTGCCTTGGATTGCTCTGCGCGTGTTTCACCTCCCCTCCCCCCCCCCCCCCGGCGCCCTTCTAATCTCACGGTGCCCCCAAACAACAGGCGCAACAAGGAGAAGGAGGGGGCGCCAGCAACGGCACCAAAGCTGCCGCCCAGCCTTTGCACATCGCTCCAAGGCGCCAGCAGCAGCCGTCTGCACCACAAGCCACGATCTCCTACGACCCACCCGCCCCGCTCTTGCCCCCCTTGCTCCCCGAAGTGACTCCCCCACCTCGTGCGACCTCCGGCGGAGCTCGGATTCTCGAGAGAAAATCAAGCGGTGTCACAGACTCGGGGGGTGGCGGGGGAGGAGCGGAGGAGGCGGGGAGAAGGCGCGTGGTTCCGGATGCTCCTCCTTCCGGTGCTGGCGGACGGGGGGGGTCCGGGGTTGGGGAGAGTGATCCGACGGTCGTGGTGGCGTGTCTGGTGAGCTCGATGTTTAGGCCTCACGTGCGCTGTTATTAGTCAGTTATTTTTGTGCTTCTTGTCGTCGAGTACTGCTGCGCGGCATTCTCCGAAGCTAGGATAATCCCGTAGTTTTTTGCCGTGGGTTTGGTGCTATTGTATTGTGCCTATAGGTTTGTTTCCCTCACAAGGGGGTGCTACTATTGGCGTTGACTTTTTCGAACAAGGGCTATGTGCTTGTTGCTTAATGTCAGGTGGGTGGTGTCCCGTTGCCGCGCTGCCTTGATATCTTTCTCGTGTAGGTTGATGGACGCAAGATTGGCGGCTTGGCGGGAGCAGATTAGACGATGTATTGCACTCACCGGCTTTTTTCTGAGTAGATGCACCTTCGAACCCCCTTCTTCGCAGAATTCCTTCTGACGTGTTTGGTGTGACCCCACCCCTCCGACCTTACTGCAGCGCCGATTCCGTGCCGGAAACCAGCAAGTGGAGAAAGTACCCCCTACCCCCCACTCCCCACCGCTGTACTATACTTCGCAGCAATTTAGAAGCCGAAATCAAACCATTAGACTGTAGTCAGCAATGGTTTGGATATCGGCTTCTAGAAAATAGTCGTGGGGTACGAAGGACTCCCTGTCCTGCTAGTCGCACAATTTTTTCCCGCGGTGCGCGTTGACAACTTGTTGCACCTTGTTCGCTGTATCGCTACATATGCGCCGCAGCTCTGCCGCAGGTCGTTTGGCTCGTCGGAGATGCTCCGCAAGCACGAGAAGAAGTCAAAGCTGCACAAGGAGAACCTCGCCGCAGCAGCAGCGGCGGCAAGGGGAGGGGACGGGGGAGGCCTGCAAGCGTCAGGGGTTGCTGTCGGTGGCGGCATTCGATGAACTTCGGTGTATGCTCCGCTCTTCGTCGACCCCCCTGCAAGGCGTGCGCCCCCTTCGGTAGATGGTGGAATGGCTGCTGTTTCTCTCTCGTTGTGGGTGACCAAGTCTGCTTGCGGTTGGGACTGCTGTGTCGTTCGAAGCAATAGGTTTCAAGTTTTATCCTGCACCTGTTGCAGGCTGGTGTTGGTGTTGTCGTGTCGCGGACGTAGAAGAATTGAGAGGGACTATATGTGAGGCTTCGTAGGGGTGGTATTAATAGTCACCCTCATCGGCTGTATCACAGGGGTCAACCTCACCAATGCCTATTATGCTGCATCGACGATAAGGACTTAGTTTTCGCGCGCGGTTTGGGCTAGACTATACCATAGGTAGATCATACTCCGAATGTTGTCGAAAATCTCATGGAACGTTCATCATTGCAAGGTATTCCCAGACGTGTCGTTGACGGTGCATGCACGCAAGATTGTCCCAGTGGTGTGCTGTTTTCGGACTGCCAGCTGTGTGTGGGGGTGGGGTGGGGTTACGACTTTCTTTGCCTGCAAAACGATGATAGATTACATAGCGCATGCAATACGGGTTTGAACGCGTCTCACCAGTTGAACGAAATGAGCCCCCCGCCGCCGCTCAGCATGCCCTTTGGGCACGACATCAGTTTGTGGAATTTGCATTGGAGACCAGGTGCCGTACAAGTGTAGTTGCTGCCCACTATTAGCCCCTGCCCGGAGGAGCCTATCATCGCAGGGAATTGTTCTCATTACATGCGAGCAATCCGATTCCGAAACTCTGTGTTGTACCGTCCGTGGTATTGAAATCTGCAGGATGTGCCCTTCACTCCTTGTTGTGAAGATTTAGGTTTTCGTCTACAGCAGTACAGCAGCATATAGTCCGGCAGTACATGGAATGCCGACAACACCAGCGAGGAAACAGTGAACAAATGAACGGGATACCACCACACCATTGTTTCTTGTTTGAAAACGCGCGACCTGTTTGTTGCTAAGTCATCCTGGACTCTTTTGATCTGTGGAAACATGCATGATGGATCTTGTGTTGATTGAAAACAAAATGTAAAAAGATGCGGCGGGTTGCCGAGCTGGGTGGGCAGTGCGTCTCCATACTGTCTGTGTGCCCCCTCGACCCTCGACTCTCGTCTCTCCTCTCTGCGAGTCTCTCCTCCGCATGTTTCTCCTCTCGCCTCCATTCTTGGTGTGGCCACACCACCTTCCATTCCGCTGAAGAAACACCCCTCTCCCCAAGAAAGGGAGAAAACTGGAAAACGGACTGGATGCGCTGCGGAGATACATAAAGATTTTACCATCACAGCGAAACCGGCTCTATTTCTCTGTTTGGAACCGCATCGCTGCCACACAGCTGGGCTTGGAGGGTATGGCATCGGCGCAGCAGAGAGGACGTACAAGGGCGCGGGGAGCGATGAAGGAAGCAAGCATGTTTTCGGCTCGCGCCGGCCGAGTCTCCTCCTCCTCTCCCCGAGAACCGTCCCGGATGGGATGGATCACTCTACCACGTACGCTGCAGGAGCTAGTTGCGGACGAGAGACTCAACAACAACATCGGATAGCGGTCGTGTTGGCCGACACTGAAGAGCACAACGTGCTCGACCTACAACAGCTTCTGTGGCAGCAGAACCCGCACCAGTGCCGAGGAGCGGTGGCGATGTTGGTGGTGCTACGTCAGGAGCGTTGCCTATACGTCTGAACGAGCCGGATCGTCAAAGCTCGTCCCAGAGGGTGTTGCTCCTGCCGAGGAGGGCGCGAGCGATCAAGCCATGCGTTTGTTGAAGCGCATGAGGCCGGACGAGCTTAGAAAACTCAGCAAGGCCGCCACTGCGCTGTAAAAAACCAAGCTCGAGGACGGCATAAAGGTGTGTGCACCGTGCCCCTTGATTCCGAGGGGTTGTGTTGCAACAGTATATACTACTGTACGTGTAGTTTGAATATCCGGTCCAACTTAGGCTGATCGCCAAGTACTCCTCCCCCCCCGCCCCCCGCATATGTACCTACAATAGAGCCTGCGGCCGCCGCTGCTGCTGCTGCCGCTGGCCTCCAGGCCCCCTTTCTCGGCAAACCCTTCCTCGCCACCGCCGCCGCCTTGGTTGGGGCTGATGTTCAGGGGCCGCTTTCTCACGCCCGGGTGCTCGTCGTACTCCCCGGCCCGTTTCGGCGGCCCCGTCCCCTTGGCGTGGCCGCCCTTGGGTGGCGGTCTCTTCGCGGTATGGGAGGAGGAGGCTGCTGCTGCTGCTGCTGCTGCTGCTGCTGCTGCTGCTGCTGCTCTCTGTCTCTCTCTCTCTGTCTCTCTGTCTCTATCTCTGTCTCTATCTCTGTGTGTGTGTGTTTCTCTGTCTCGCTACCACATCGTTCGGCTGTTTTGAGGCTCGTATGGTACGTACATCAGCAATGCAGCAGTAGCCTGATCAGAACACAAAGAAGTATTATGCGGTAACGCGGCACAAAGCCTCTTGTGCAACGGTACGGAGGCGCCCTGCATCTCACACGCATCACCACATGCCCTGCTTCGTTGTGCTTCCTGCGGCGCGATCCCGTTCACGCGCCCAACTTCAACTACTGTCTGTCCGAGCTGCACCCTTCTTCTGTAACAGACATACAGTAGTCTGCCTGTGCAACCGCAAAAACAATTGCATCCGCGTAGATCATGGCCCCCATTGCTACAGCATTCCGGTAATGTCCAAGATGCGCGATGTATGTCTCTCTTGCCTCGATGCACGCAAGCTAAGTTCGCTCACAACAACACACACAGTTTTGGCTACACCGCCTCCTCGCCATCATCCATCCCCTTGCGAGGTTAAAACCCGTACCGCTGCCCGTATGCCCGCTCGCGCAGGTTGCAGCTTTCGTAGCGAAGAACGACAACTTCGTCGAACTGGATGCTGACTGCTACATCTGTCTAGAGCCCCTTCTGAACAACATCGGCTCGACCCAGTACGAGTCTTGAGCTGGAGGTGCCGATGCAGGGTGCCTCCGAAGGCGCACTCGGGGTGCGTGTTTTCCAAGATGTGCCACACCGGTGACGGGAAGGGTGTGTGCGACATGTGCGGCTCCCCGATGGTGTTCGAGAAGACTAGGAGGAAGGGCACGCAGGCCACGCTACGGTGAGGTCGCAGTCGCAGGTTGCTCTGGCACAGCAGTGCTTGCTATTCAAGGACGGGCACGGTCCAATATGGTGCTGAAATGGCAGGATTTTTAAACCGAGAGCAGCGGAGATGCAACTTTGAGGAGACATAGAGGACCAATGCGTCGTCTTCCCCATCTCAGAGGACCACACTAAATACCCTGAAGCGAACACATGTGGGATGTCGATGCCCCCCCCCCCCTGCTTTGCCGTTGGTTGGCTCTTGTGGGAGATGTAGACTGCCAACATGCGCCCAACGATGATTCTGGTGTGTTCGTACTGGTGTTGATGATCTGCTTCGTCAGGCTGTTGAGAGGTTGAGGATAGACTGTACCCCGACCTACATAGATCAAGCGATCGGTGTAGTTATGACAGGTTGGATGGATGCCCCACACCCCCCTAAAGCCTAAGCAGCCAAGATCCCAGACAAGATAAATGTACATAGGACATGTTAAGAGGCACCATGGCAGACTGGTAGTCTAGTGGTCATCGTGCCTCTCAACGGGACATGAAAGTAGGTGCTTCTGCTGCTCACGAGAATCGCGAAATGACTCACCAGAGAGGACAAGTGGACATGGGGGCACTGGTGGACACCTTCTAAATTGTTTTCGAAGCCCCAGAATGATGTGCACACCTGCAAGAGAGCCGAGTACACGCGAGTCTCGACCGAGGCCGCTTGACCGAAACCTGTGTACTGTTGTTGTTGTTGTCTTCACATTAAAAACCGTTCCGTTCTCTCTACCCAGTCCAGACTTTCTTCTGTCCGTACTAGTCTAACACTTGACGGGATCGGTTCCTGGGGTCACAGGTTAACTAACCCAGAAAAGTATTCGAAAATAAACGCCGCAGTTTTTCTTGTTCTCGCCGGGACACTTGTTGTTTCCCGATCGTGCAGGTTTCACCGCGACGAGAAACGAGCGGACGCTGACGACTCCAGCAGCGACAGCGACACGGAAAGCGGGGAGGACAGCAGCATCGCTGGACGAGGAGGAAGATGGCAACGATGGTCTTCTAGAATTTGAACAGTTATAGGACAAGGATGATACGGGGTGGCTGTAGGTTTGCCACGCCAGCCGTGTCAGCGTTAGCAGGAAGAAAGGAAGATCCCACGACAACGGCTACGACGACGGCGACAACTGGCTGGGAAGACTGCGAGGGACAACACGACTCAAGAGGTCACGGCTTGGTGATATCTGTACGGACAGGAACCGTCATCTGCTGTTGCATTGCCTTGTTTCCCCTGGAGTATGACGTGTGTTGGTGTCGAGTACAGCACATGCTACCGTCGCATGGTATCGAGTCGAGGCTTGGGGTAGTGTTCTGGTTGTCGACAGCGACGAGGCGTTGCGTATAGATTATTGCGAGCAGTGCGTTTCACGCCAATGCGAAGAAAGATCTGCCGTTGACCTCTGGACGGAGAAGATCATATCGAGCAAACTCGGCTTGGATTGTTCAATCCATCTTGTCGCTTGCGTAGGGCGCAGGAATGAGGGCAGTATAGGCAAGGAGTGAAGGGGGAGGAGCGTTTTATATTAGCTGCTTGAGATAGACGGACGTGACCAGTCCCAGGGGAGACATCTCTAATGTTGAATGTCTGTACTGATTGAAATATGCGTGCGCTTGAGAGAGTTTCGCGCGTACCATGACAAGAGCCAGCTCATAGATCGCAGCAAGCTCGTGGATTGCAGCGAACGAGCCCGGTAGAGACCGGAACGGGGAAAGAGCCAATGGACACAGATACAAATGGTGTGGGTGGGCCTTGACGAAACACGCAGGGTACATCCAGTGGGTGACCACCGGATGAGGCAGGCATTTACTGCTGTGACAAACCTAAACAAACGTTGACTCCTCTCGAACCCGCTCAAAGAGGCTAGAATCCATGCACTCTGAAAGAAAGTCGTCTACTGCGTGCATACGAGTTACTATGCTGAAATAGACCAAGCTATGTATCTCTCTGTATTGGGAGATACCGGGTTCATTGGTCTTGAGTGCAGTATAGTCGGCAGCAGAGGCGCAGAGGCGCAGAGGCGGCAACTCGTGGTTCGGAACCATTGTTGTTGTTGTTGCTCAAACTTCAAGTGACAATCCTACCGTGTATTCAGCCGCGCGTGTTTGAGTTTGCAAATTATCGGTTGATAATCCCGAAAACGCTTATTGTTCATTTAGACCCACCTGCTACCGGGGTAGTGAGTAAGGTGGGGAGCATGCATCTTAGGAAAATAGAAAATAGGTGTGATCGATTTGGATTTCATCAGCGTGGTGCGGACGAATTGGATTTCAGCCGTTGGGCGGGGGGTAAACCGTGAAGTGATACCACGTACCCCCCGTTAACGACCCCTGCACACATACTTGCACCACAACGGCAACCGCTTTGATCCGAACAGCAGTCGAGAAACACACACGCCCGACACACCTCCCGCGAGGTACCGCAGCTCTCTGCAAGGGAGCGGAGAAGAACCCGAGGAGCTGGGTGCGGTTGGTTGAGAAGACGGCTGCTACGTGTTACCCGTCACAGCAGGAGCACAGCGTTTTTTCTGTTTTTTACTTCATACAAGTAAATAGCATACAAAGTAGCATGTCAACAGCAATAGCAGCAGCGAGGCAGCAAAGGAAGCGGCCGCCGCCGTCGGCTAGCGAGGAGGCAATCCGCCTCATGAAGCACATGAAGCCAGCCGAGCTGAGAAAGATCAGCAAGGCTGCCATGATTCTGGAGAAGAGAAAGCTGGAGGACAACAAAAAGGTGGGTAGGTGCGATTTTCGGAATGGGACAAACAGAAGCGGAGATTTTGTATTGTAAGGGTGCTTCTTATCGACCAATAAAACACGAAAAAAAAACGAAACCATGTTTTCTTGAACACATATGGAGGCGTTTTTCCCCGAAAGCGTGAAAAGAAGGAGCCGGGTTTTTTTGGGGCTTGCTACTTAAACGAATTCGTGTTTTTGACAGAAGCATCGGACAAGCGCACCGCGGGCGCTGTAACATCACTGAGAACGCTAGATAGAAAGACCTGCCAGACTCACGTCCAGGTCTGTTGTGGAGATGGACAAGCGGCAGAAGCGGCGTTCAGTCCGTTCTTGGCCCAAAACTAGGCATTGCGTGGTGCTCTCGTCTTCAACTGCTGCTGTTGGTGCTGTTTTTTTTTTTCAATCACACATAACAAACACGGAAACAGTAGAACGAGTACAGCAGCAGCACCAAGACCTCCAACGCGCTGATTCCTTCGGTTCGGCTGTCTATATGATACCATCTCCCGGCGCCGTGCTGCTTCGTGGGTATTGGGTGCTTGGATGCTGCTCAATAAAGTGTGTGAGAGACGTGTGCCACCTCACCAAAATGCCGTTGGAAAAAATGCGGCGAGATGATCTGCTTTTGGTCGGACGCATCAACATCAATCCACGGCACCACGCAGCAGTAGAGCAACAGGGCCTCCGACACGCAAATTCTTTCGGATTGGCCATCTATATGATGCTGGCCGTCAGCGCGGCTGCCGCCCTATGATTGTTGAGCTCGTCTACCTTTGGGCAGGTGGTGGTCAAAGATGGGAGTCGCAATCGTGAAAAATGAGCTGGCAAACTGAAGAAATCGCAAGCAACACCCAGGTGGCGACACTCTGCCCTGCGTCTGTTGTTGCTGAAAACTGAAAACAGCAGGCCAGGTGGACGGGATCTTTCTAAGTGTGTTGTCCTCTGTGTCGGGTGCTGCTTATTGCGCTTTCACCGCTGCTCTATGGTGAGCATTACCATGTCAACCTGTTGTGTGTCGAGCAAAACGTGTATTCAGGGAAGGAAACGAACTCTTCGCGATGACATCACGATTAGAACAAGGGAAAAATAATCGGATCTTCTTTTCACCGTTCCGTGAAAAAAGCGTTTTTTTTGTGTTGCGTTAACAATAACCCTAAGAGCAATCTGCTGTGCTCTCTGTGTCCGGTATGCGTACCACCACGTGTCTTCGTGTTGTGTTGCAAATGACCAACCTCCGCCTGTGGACTGCCCCTTGCCTGGGGCTGGAACAGCCTATGGTCGTAGAATACCCGTAGACCACTCTGCAAGAGCGGATACACACCAACCGGGGCCTCGTCAAAGGGATTGAGCTGTGGGCGACCTCGCTGTAAGCTCGGTACATTGTAATATTTAGAGTTCACACTACGACGCCAACGGCGGCGGCATGTATCTACAGCAGTGTCTTCTCCAAGGCTTCGTCGTAGTGGACGCCGGAACCAAGCAGCATCGGAAGTCATTGTGGGAAACCCTTGGAAGAGTTAAGGGGCTGTGCCCGGCGTGGCTTCGAGCAAGAGCACTAGGAGGAGAATCGTGTTCGTGAAGAAATGTTGTTGTTGTTGTTGTTGTTATTGTTGTCTTCACGTTAACAACCGTTCCGGTGTCCGCTCAGTACCTTCTAATGTCCGTACTGCTCCAACTCACGCGGACGCCTTCCGTGGTCACAAGCAAACTGCACCCACAAAAGGGGGGGTACACCTTTCTAAAATACAATGGACACCAGAAAATTTCCTCTGAGGTGCGATGTATGTAGTTATACACAACCACAGCAGCGAGGAAACACAAGCAAGCATCGACCAACTCGCGTGTCATAAATTGTGATGGAGCAGGGGGGGAGGGGAGGAAAGCCCGAGGCTTGCAAGGGCTGTTACACGTCTATCACCGGGGAGGCTCAAAACGGCATTGGTCAACATAGAGGTTTGCAAGGTCGGGAGATCCTGCGTAAACGCAGGGGGGGGCTATGGGCGGGGGGAGGTTGCGAGTCATGAGGCAGCAGCAGCTACGCGAAACATTGACCGTGTTTAGGAAAAAGGCGATCAGGGTGGATAGTCTGTACTGCGTGTTCTGTACTGCGTGTTCTGCAGCGGGTGCGTCGAGGGTGGGCAACAAGGCGTGGGGCTGGCGATCGAAGAATCGATACGCATGTCGCCAAAGAACACCCTTTGAATGATGAGCACCAAACCGTCAGCCGTTTTGGTAGGGTCCATACGCACCAAAATGGAAACTAGCGACCATGACATGGAACGAGGATTCTCTCACAACCTCAACAGCTCGGTGCAAACGGATCCCAACAATCTCGTACGTATGGATGCAAGGAGAACCCAATCCCAACGGCGTCATCGGGGACCGTGCTGGCGGGCGACTTGAAGCGAACGGACTACGTGCTGACACGCTCACGCGCGTTGGCCACGAGCGCGATACGCGGCCTTGCGCCTGCTAACGATATCGGCTGGGAAAAGCGGACTAAGACGTGACATGGCTTGGAAATTATTCGGCCCCAACCGCAATACTAGAAAGAACAAGAGGTCATGGCGACGGAAGTGGTAGTTCGACGACGTTTCCGCGAAGATGACAAGCTCCATGTGGGCCTGGTGTTTTCGACGAAGAGACGGGGACGAGCCCGAGACAACGGTGGAACGGGCCGAGGAGGACGGAATGGGGAACGAAATACGCCGACGATGCTGGGATCGTGTCCAGATCGCCAGCAGGGGTCCCTAGAATGATGACGGTTATGTCGTGGAATTTTGTGGTGTTTTTGACTGAAGTGCATCGACAGGGTTGCAGAAGAAGACAAAGACCCTCCTGATTCAGGCACTGGAAAGGTATAGAGGCCTACGGAGGCGCTAACATCAGCTCTGCCGGCGCTAGGGATCACGGAAGCCGAACTGAAAGTGTGGAACCCGGTATTTTGAGTTCGTAACCCGGACGGCCTTGTCAGCGAAGACGCCGATCGTAGGCACAAGGTGGACCGCCGCGCCAGAATCGCTTGGGGATGCTTCGCAAAGTTCTCCTTGGAACTCATCGATCCGCCAAGCGCGCCAATGAGGCTCAACCTTCGGATGCTGCAGGTAGAGACGCAGAAGGGGGTGCTGTACGCGTGAGAAGACGGGGCACAAATTCCCCCCCGAGTCACGGGCATCGCCGCGTTCACGGCATTCAACGCCACATACCGCAAGCTCAATATATCGGAGGCAGAGTTGGGAGGGACTTCTGGGCAGCCATAGCTTCTGTTTGCGGGGGGCAATGCTGGACAAGGGAGACAAGCGACCACCAACGCGGCTGTTGTTTGGGAAACCCCAAAACGGGGCTACCCGCCCCACCCCGCCGGCCATCGCGTGCAGTAACAGGTAGACAGCCTGGTGGACGAATTCCAAAGCCTGTCGGAGCTCTACACAATTCTACGCCGCCAAACGGCGGACAAATGAAGCCTATCTGCTCGCTTGAAAACGGCAGGCGAGGTGCCGGGAGGACGGAGTACCGTGCTACAACAGGTGTTTGTTGGAGGTGGGCCGTTTTCTGGGCCCCACGAATCCAAGGCCAAGAGATAAATCGAGCAGATAAAGTGCTGGCGAATCTGGAGAACGGAATCTCAGAGAGGGATTTAGAGCATTTAGTTTCTACACAGAGGAGCTATTTGGTGTAAACGGCGGTCGGCATGATACACGAAGGGGGTTGGTACGTGTGTGATCTGATGATTTAGGAGCCACGGAGTCCCCTGTGCATTGGGCTCTCATGGCTCACCTCTGCTCGGGCTCCGTGCATGTCCACATGGCTGATGCCCTGAAACCAGGACAAGTGCGTCTCATTATCCGCACCCGGATCGGTTCTTAGGGTGTTAAACGTCTGGTCACCCACCGAACAATTGAACAGGACCATCTCCATTTTATCTCCCTTTTCACCGTCGTCGATTACTCTCGCTCGCGATTCGGGGCCCCGCGCCCACTGGGGGCGCGGGGGGCATTCTAGTCTCGCAGTTTGGTCCCTAATTTGGTCCTCTGTTTTCATTATTCTCCGCGTCGGGCTTGTTTTTTGTCACTTTATGGATGGGTTTGGCCTGGTCCCTTGTCTTGAGTTTGACGTCATTTGCGTTTTGTTTCTCTCCCGTATCTGTCGAGCTTTTTGTCTAGGTGCAGCAGTAGCGTCGTGTGGCCCGCCCGTGTTGCCTGACCGCCCTCACACCCGCAAACCTGGTTGCTTGAGGGGTGTTTGCCTGGTTCGTGCCAAACCCAACGTAGAGCTCACTGTTACAGGGTGGGCTCGTGGAGATATTTGCTGTCCAGGGCGGGACGGGCTCGTCTCGTGCATGATTTCCATGATTCAATTTGTTTGCGGCTGTGTTCATTTTGTTGCGCCGGTGTACGAAGTTGAAGCCCGTTGTAACTATCCCGTGGGGTACGGTTGCCTGGTCCGCTAACACAGAATCCGGCGATGTCTCGTATTCCTTGCAACACCTGCAATAGTACAGTGTTCTTCTGCGCAATCGGTGGGACACACTCTGGGCCTGTTATTCCAGAGTTTTAGGTCAGCATGAGGCAACGGAAATTCGATTTTTTCCTTGGCACAGCAGTGAGGAAGAGGGGCTCTCGGGCAGAGGCCAGAAAGTTGTTTTCATGTGGAGAGAGCAATAGTACCGACTCTCAAGTGCTGGAAAATTACTAAATAACGAACACCCGGAACACCTTTTTCTGTTTGAGGAGCACGGCATGATGACCCAGGTAGACTCAGCAGGGTACATGGGCTCGGGGGGTATCGCGATGGCGCTCCCCCTCAATTTTTCGTTTTGCTGTGTCTACAGCCAACAAAGGCTCGGTTGGAAAATTTGCGCCTGGTATGGGCTTGGACGGAGGTGTCTTGCGCGGGCGCGGTACAGCATGAGTTGTTGCTGAGCTCCGGCGGTTCTGGAAATGCTTCAGAGTTTGTTGAAGGTCTTCGTTGATGCCTTCCCAGGCTATGAGGAGCGGTGCTCAAGTATTGTTAAATCTGCCAGTGCAGATCGCCTATTTTAGAGTTCCTCTCTCGAATTTCTCTCTTGTCCGTTTCTTGGTCCCGAAGGAAGTTTGACCGTGCTGCGTGAATAGACGTAGAACAGCTAAAGCTACGAGCTTGCGGGCGGTGAAGCTTGCAGATGATGTTGTAAGTGTTCGGCCGATACCCTTCTACGCGGCAAATGTTTGAATGATACCCTGCCTATGTGGACGCCGGACACAGCAGCAGCCTAGGATGATCGATTCGCACTTGGATGATGTCAGCGGATGAATCCGCGAAGGTCAGGATGCACGGCTGTTCGAGTTTGCTTTTATCGAGACTATCTGCTAAACAGCATGGGCGTCGTAACCACGCTTTTCACTCTGCGCCCACTCTGCTCGCGCAGGTTGCAGCTTTCGTGGCGAAGAATGACAACTTTGTCGAGCTGGTGGGCGATTGCTACATCTGTTTAGAGCCCCTTCTGAACAACATCGGCACAACCAAATTCGGAGTGGTCAGCTGGAGATGCCGCTGCACCGTACCTCAGAAGGCGCACTCGGCGTGCGTGTTCTCCAAAATTTGCCACGTGGCCAACTCGCAGGGTACATGTGACATGTGCGACTCCCCAATGATGTTCGAGAAGACCAGACGGAAGGGTACCCAGGCCACAATACGGTGAGGTTGCCGTTCAGCAATGGCCGTTTCTGACATGAGGCTGGTTTCGGCCATGCTGTAAGGATGGGGTGGATTTCCAATGTCGTAGGTGCGGACATGGCGGGACGCCTTATCCCCGCAGTCGAGACATATCGAAAGTGCCTTCCGTGATGTTTTATTACATGATAGACGCTTCCAATGACACTCCATAGAACGGAAGTTGGAGATCTTGATTTGTATGAGTTGTGCGAATAAGGCCCTTTGTAATTACGTGGCCAATGGCTTTTCTAGCGTGTGCCTTCAGTGTGAACGAAGGCTGGGGAGTTGGCTTGGGGGCGTCCTTTCTGTCGACGGTGTCATGTAGTCTGTTGTCGGACGGACAGTGTTCCCTGGTGCCGGGGCAAAAGTGCCCCCACGAGGAAACATCCCGTCCTACCAGATCGCGCCACATTGCACAGTTCCATTTCTTTTCTTCAAGTGATTCCATCAGCAGCGACAAGCTATTCTACGCCTCAACAAGACGATCCAACAATGCCACAGCACCGCCAGTAACCGACGCAACTCTAACGTCGGTATCCAATGTATTTGAGCTACGTTAGGCCTACTGCTGTGGGTCTCGAAGGCGAGGAGATCACGCCGAGTGAAGAGTTGTTGTATGCGGCGTCGAAACTCCTCGAGCGACACCATCATGTTTTCGTTACTCCTGCGCATGACCCCTTAGGCTAAAGCTGGCTGGCTACATATTCTGCTCGATTAATAATTGCACAGATTTCACCGGGATGAGGAGCGGGCAGATGACGCCGACCCAAGCAGTGACAGCGAAGAGGGGGAAAGCAGCGGCAGTGAGAGCCTTTCCGACGTTAGCAACGAGGACAGCAACAGCAGTCTCAGTGGCAGCGATCTCAGCAACAGCGAAAGCTCGAGCGGATCTGACAGTAATGAAGAGGATGGCGACTAGTTAGCGCGATTACATTGACGCGGGAAACATTTTGTTTCGGATGTGTCTGCAAGGGGCAGGACGCCATTGCGCCGAAGTGCAGGCGTCATTTGGTATTGAGGATAGTCGAAGGTGCAACTATGATGTTGCCGAGATGGGGAAGCGCAGTCGACACTTCCAGCATGTAAATCTCTGCCGATACAATGGGGAAATTCCTGTGTAATGGTGCACCCTACAAACTTTGATTTGGGTCATTCATTTCATATGCTTGTAGACGGAAAGGCACAAGGATGAAGCAATTGGAGAGTCGGTCAAAGAGAATGGAGGTTACCAAAGATTGGTTCCCTGAAGTAGCGACCCTTTACCCTCTTTGCTCCCCTCCGGTGTACCATGCATGACAAGGAGTGATGAACGGGGTCGAGACCAGGACAGTTGAGTCCGAACACCGAGTATGCGCCCAAGATGGTGGGCGAGACCGAACAAAGAGGGTCCAGAGAGGAGGGCGTGAGACACCCGCGGTTTTCTTTTTTTGTGATACTCGGTAAACGGTGGTGGGGGGAACGTGACAGCGCCTAACGATGAGGGCGAGTTGCGGGAGGATAACTTTCGGCGATGCACAGGCGATGTGGTGTTCATTAGCTTCGCCGTGCAGCGCTTTGACTTACCGGTGGTGAGGAGTACGTTCAGTTCAGAAACACGCTGTTTTGTGGTCGATGTCGACGTCGACAAGCAAGCGTTGTTGCTCGAGGTGGAGTGCTCGCAGGAGGAGTTGTTGTTTTCGCGTTTTTTCTGCGTCGTTTTGGCAGTGCTCTTGGTGGGACGGTTTCCAACATGTATGTACACCGGGCCAGTGTTCCACAGACAGCAACATCAGTTCTCGCGTTGTTGTCGTGTTGTTTCTTGCGACCGTGTAAAAACCAATTGTTTGCCCCCTTGATGGTGTGGTGGTGGTGTATATCCGCATTTAATTTGAAATGCTCATGTAGATGGTTGGTTCTGGAAAACCGAGATAATACAATGGCAGCGATGATGATGACCAGATTCCTTTCTTCTTTCGCCCGCAGGGAGCAGCACCAAGAAATATCCAAGGGCGCCAAATCCAAAAGAATTGGGCAGTATGGGAGCGCTGTGGACACCGGCGAAACAAAGAAAGGCTTTTAGTAACTGCTTTTCGCTTGTGAAGTCTACAACGGTTTCTATTGGCTAGATACCTCTCGTACCGCTGTACAGACAAAGCTGGACCTCGTTGATTTGTCTTCGGCCAACGGACGTGTACTTGGTGTGGCTGTGTGCTTTGTCAAGACACAAAGACACCAAGCATATCCGTGTACATGACACGATGACCGTGATGAAAGAACATGTATGATTCGATCCGCATCGATGCCGCCGCCCGGTGGGAGGGAGGCGGGGGTGCTATTTCTGAATGATGCTGCGGTGCCCCCCGGTCCGCCACGGTGGTTAGCCACATACAAGCCAACACCCACGTGACTCGTGTAGCGAGCACACGTCGTTCCAGGAAAGACATAGCCCACTTCAAGAGGATTAATTGGCACCAAAGAAGCTGGGGTGGTCACCGTTGCGGAAAAGGTGCTCAACAGACTTCGGACGACCTTTTCTCCTCTTGGTTGCCGTTGGGGTAATTCCGTAATTCCTCCGCGAGCTGCGTACAGCAGTAGTTCATGAACCGAGCCGCCGCACCCGGCGTTCCCAGCTCCCACAACAGCATTACAAGTATGTCATCCACGCGGGGAGGGCTACGGGGAAGGGTGCGGAGGCAGGAGTCGACCGATGCGGAGCCTGATGTTGACCGTCGCACTTCATCCTCCTCCGTGATATCAGTGTCGTCGCGCGTGGCCGCGATCTCCAATAGGAGGGTGGGGCCTGGGTTCGTGCTGGGAGCACCGGGTCCACGTGACGCAACTCGTCCCCGTGTGCAAACGCGTTCAGGGGGTGGGCGGGGTGGTAATACCAGCGCCGATGCTAGCGTCCTGTCAGGTTCTGAAAGGGCGGCTTCTGAAAGGGCGGCTTCTGAAAGGGCGGTCGCGATCATGCGACGGCGGGAGGCGAATCGGTTGCCGCCGGCGCCGGCTTTTGCCCCACCCCAGCCGGTAGAGGGTCCCAGGGAGCAAGCCTTGAACCTTCTGAAGCGTATGAGGCCGGATGAGCTCATGGCGATAGGCGAGGCCGCCACTGCGTTGGCGAAGAGGAAGATGGATGACAGGAAAAAGGTGTGTGTGTTTGCAGCTGCTGGATGTTTCGCCTATTCTTTTAGCATGTCTGTCGAATCGCGTCCAAGACACGCATTTACGGAGTTCCGGATTCCCTGTGTGTATGGTCTGCAGTCTACAGCAAGTAATCCGTACGTCCTTAGCATTGACCGCGCTACATAACCGGTTTACCCAATGAAATATACGCCAGTGTTAGCGGGTGGAATCAGGGCGCTGGGAGGGATCCCAACATCGAGAAATGCGCAACACGAACGCCAAAGCAAACCTCTCAAATACTAGAAATACTGGAAGTATTTATGACCTACGCACCACAGCTCGACACGTATTCTTTCCCGAACCTAGGCACTGCTGATGCAGAGAGCGGAGGACAGCAAAATGGTCATGTCAAGCCCAGCCGAAGCCAGGATATCACTGTATGCCGCATCTCCCAATTTGATGGTCGTAGACTCCAAAGATCCAGCAGTCATATTGTCAGCAGCCAGACAAACTCCGCAATATGGGTCCTTATCATCTATTCTGACGCCAGTCTACACACAGCTCGGTGTGTGTGTGTTTCTGAAGTGCGTCCGCCGGGTACACACCAGGAGGAAGGAAGAAGGAAGGCCACGAAGCTTGCTATTTTTTCTATATTTTCTTGCCGCACTTTCCTCCGTACGAAGAAGACACGAGAGACAGCAGTCCGCCCTCTTCTTCCTACCTCCCAACGACTCTTCCCGTCGCAATCCTGCCCCACATGTACTGCTCTGAATGACCGGAAACACGTGGTGTGTCGCCGCCGGAGTGATAGGTCGCAACCTCCCAAAAGAGGAGGTCGGCCACCATTGGTTGTAGGAGCAGCCGCGTTTACCCGCTGACAAATGAGAATAGTCAAGTTCGCCAGTCTCACAAGACAACAACGACAGCGAACGAGAGACATGCCTGTGATCCGCGCCTCGGGTGAGAGATCAACCACGGTTGTTTCAGCAACCCGAGTGGTGCCAGGCCGTTTAGTCCGCGGCCAGGAATGTCGACGGGAGTTACAACCTCCGGTTTGGCAGTTCAGAGCATCAGGATCTGTGGGTTGTGGAAGTCAACATCAACAAGCGCTACTCTTGTCGTGTGGCCCGCCTGTGGTACATACAGCGTAAACATTGTTATGCAGTCAAGTACGCTCCGAAGTGCTTTTGTCTGACTACATATCTGTGCACCAGCACCTCACCCAAAGATGCTGCTGCACCTGTTGCTTAGTCTTCATGAGGTCGTTGTTGTTTGACACGTGTGCTACTCGTGCTTCTATTCTCGTTCTTGTCTGCACGTGAACTGGATTCCTAGTATACAGAGTAGACGTGGATACACACAACAAAGAGGGGGAAAGACTGCTTCACCCTTCTCGCGTTGATGCATTGGAGGCAGGGACGACAGGAGGATATGTTGAGAATTATTCCTGTGTTACCCCGGCTGGTTCGTCAAAAAACCACTGGAAGATTTCGCTGGCGCCCAAAACAGATGGGACTCCTGCAAGCACAAGAGTAAACGAGCATGTTCGGTTAAAACCCCGGTCAGCACGATATCACGAGTGTTTGATTGAGATGGTTTCTTGCGGTCATCTTTGGGCAACTTGCTCTCGCGCCCACGTGGTTTTTCTGGCTCATCTGAGGCTTGTCTATGCACCAGCAGCACGAATCTCATTCTCGCCGTAGGTGCCACTTAACCGACACCACCGGGTGAGCGTGTTCTTCTGGCGATGAACTGGTCGCGGATTTGATCGGTCTTTCTTTCCGTCTGAGAGATCAGGCACACGTTGCCGAAGTGTTCTTCGGGCCATATAGGAACCCTCGGCTTTAGCCTTGAATTAACCAAGATTCAAGAACAACGCATTCAACGCGCTACGTCCTGCTTGCTGCCATCCGATCCCCGCTTGCGTTGAAAGTGAGAGTGTGCCTTCGTTGGCATCTCCGAGATTCACCTGAATGGTCACTACAGTCGGTGAACCTTTCCCGGCAAACATCTTCGGGCGGTACAACATTGTTCATTAGATATTTACTGGTCGCATGTGCGTCACTACCCGTCGGAAGACCCTGGTTGCCACTCTGCGTTTTGTATTCATGAACCCCGCCCTCGTGGCTTCATCTTCCCTCCGTGAAAATGTACACAGATCGCGGCGTTCGCTGAAAAGCACGACAATTTCGTCGAGTTGGTGGAGGACTGTTATATCTGCCTCGAGCCGCTCCTGAACAACATCGGCACGACCAAGTTCGGAGTCGTGAGCTGGAAGTGTCGCTGCACCGTGCCTCAGAAGGCGCATTCGCGATGCGTCTTCTCCAAGATCTGCCACGCTACCAACGGGCAGGGAAAGTGCGACATGTGCAACTCCCCCATGGAGTTCGAGAAGACTACGCGGAAGGGCACCCACGCCATGATAAGGTTAGGGAGATTCGCAAAGTGGCACTGTCGCCGACACAACAGCGCTGTGTATGCTACTGATACAGTGCCGTCTGGTAGCTGACGAGGGGACACGCTTGTCGCAAGAGGAGATGGTGATGGGGTTCCAGTAGCTGGCATGGCATTCGTCGAAATTTACAACGAGGAGGAACGAGGGCGCCAGCTTTGCTGTCGAAGGCACGCCTCCAACAAAACTTGGGACCACCAGGAAAAACACGCGTCCCCCCCCCCCCCGATTTGTTAGATGTGCATGATTCCCCCCATGCTTGATCAATGGAGAAGTCTTTGCCTCAAGACGTCGTGTGTGTCAGTAGTTCTGGGTGGCGTCGGTGGCTACCGATCGTGGTAACCTTTAGCGCGTGCGTGTCTGGCTGTTACTGCTGTCCCCCAAAAGAGCGTCTACCGTAAGAAACTGAGAGATGGCACCCCCCCCCCCCGCCCCTACACCGATGTTCAAATCTCGACTGGCTCCGCAACCAAGATTGTGCCAACACCAACAATGGTGGTTTTGGAAACTTCTCATCGAGGGGTTGGTCGGGCTCTTAACGCACCCCCTTGGTTGTGGCAAAGCAGAAGGAACGATTGGCCATCGGTGATCGGTCCCGTGGGAACAATGCCCCGTCCTCTCGAGGACGCGTGGTCAATGGTCTAACCGCTAAGGCCTGCGAAACATAAGAGTACGCCCCGTTGGTTGTGGAGCAGCCGAGGTCTGCACGTCGGTCCAGGGGGAGTACCATATCTCCGCCTCTTTCGGTATTCCAACCTCGGCAATCGCTTCTACCAAGGGCCGTACTCTTGCAAGTCGGCGGCGAAACCACGGTAATTTTTTCCCACGGATGAGATACACTCCTGCGCATTGGCTGGCTGTTGCGCTGGCCGCCTCTGCACAAGGGCAAGAACGGCGGGGCGTGAACCTTGGTGCGAAGCTATGGTCCCCACGAAAAGAATTCCGCTCGGTCGCCGCCGTTGGTGTACGCTACGTTTGTACAGGTTTCACCGCGACGAGACGGACAAGGACGCCGCCATCAGCAACGAAGAGGAGGAAGAGAGGGAGGAGGAGGAGGAGGAGGATAGGGAGAGGGAGGGCGATCAAGAGGAGGAGGAGGAGGAGGAGGAGAGGGACCTGGAGGGAGAGCAGGAGCAAGAGGAGGAGGAGGAGGAGGAGGAGGAGGGAGGGGAAGTACCCCAAGTGTTTGTGAGTCTTGAAGACCAAGAGTTTGTTGACGAACGCGAATCACCCGTCGCAGACGATTTCGACGGAACGGGGTGGTGGGCGTCGTGAAGCCTTAAAAGTGTCTTCCTGGGTGCTTGGCGCTCGCTGGTAATCGGTCAGGCAGACCAGACATCGTCAGGGGATGGCCTTTGCCACGGTGTCTCGCGTGTGTTGGTACTCGTACGGGTTGTGGCGTTCGTTGTGTTTCCGTGAGGATAAGCGGTGCATGGAGACCGGTGTTCTTGGTTGGGGGGGCGTGCGGGTACAGGGTCCTGCCGGGATCATCCACCGATGTTTGTCAGGCGATACTGACGAGAGGGGGAATCGAAGGTGCCGTTGGTTTCGGGCGGTGGAAATATGCTCGGGGGAGGGGGGGACGCCGATTCAGCGCGTGCGCGGGGGGTCGGGGGGGGGGGGGGGGTTC